TTATGTGCCTGATGGAGAGCAGCATGGCCACCTCGGCTTTGACAAATTCCCTCCTGTCGGCTGAGAGGTAGCGCTTCTTCTGCTTGATGGGGGAGGAGGCCGGGTTCACCGATAGCCGATGTGTAATTACCTTTGGGCTGATGCCCGGCATGTCCTCTGGTCCCCATGCGAAGACAACGGCGTACGCTCTCAGGACAGAGAGGATGTCCCTTCGGATCTGTTGGGGGAGTTGTGTCCCAATCTTCAGCATTCGTTCCGGCCGGGAGACGTCCAACGGAACATCTTCCACGTCTCCGACCGGTTCGGCCTTTGGTATGTCTTCTTCGGCCGAGGCGGTGGTGATAGTGTCTATCCGCTCCTCGGCCTCATTGATTTTTCTTGTGAGCTTCAGGTAGCAAGCCCTGGCTATCTTCTGGTTCCCTCTGGCGTAACCGACGCCGTCCTTGGTGGGGAACTTGAGGCATAGATGTCTCATGGAGATGATGGCCTCAAGGTCCTCCAAGGCCGGTCGTCCCCAGATCATGTTGTGGGCGCTGTCCAGGTTGACAACCACGAACTCCATGTCAATCTTCGCCTGACAGGTACCGTCACCGACCACAACGGGAAGCACTATCGTGCCCTCGGCGTCGATAGAGTCCCCGGTGAAGCCGGATAACGGAGTCCGTATCGGCCGGAGCTCGGACTTCTTCAACTTCAGTTGTCTGAAGGTGTCGACGTACATCACGTTGACAGAGCTGCCAGTGTCGATGTAGTTGCGGTGGATGATGTTATTGCCGATCTCGCATTTGACGACGAGGGCGTCCCTGTGGGGCAAGGGGCCGAAGGGGAGGTCCTTGTCGGTGAAGGTGATGGCCTCCACGTGCCGCCGCTTCGGCTGAGGGGGGGCATGGGTCACCTCACCAACGTACAGGGACTGAGCCCATTTTTTCCGTTGGGTAGCCGAGTCCCCCCCTGTGTTCCCGCCGACGATGATGTGAATGTGATGCTTCTTCTGGCGGGGCTCTTCTTCGTCGTCATCTTCACTGAGGGCGCCGATCTCCCTCTTTTTCCCGGAGGATCCTTCCCCCCTTTTGCCAGGGTTGACCCAAGTGTTACTCTTGGGGGCACCTCTGACAAATTGGGAAAGTTCCCCCTGTCGGATGAGGCCGTCGATGTGCCTCTTCAGGGTGGTGCAATCCTCGGTCTTGTGGGATGTCTGGCGGTGGTACTTGCAGTATGTCCCTCCTTTGTGGACCGCGAATATCTCCTCCTCTGACCTGGGGTCCTTCACAATGAGGCCCTGTGCCTCGGCGTGGTCGAGGACGACACTCACCGGGTGGGTGAGGGGGATGCGCTGTGCTTCCAACTTTGGGCGCCATGAGCGGTCCTCTCTTCGCTGTCCGCCTTGCTCCTGGTGTGCCTTCTTTGGCTGGTGCTGTCCCTTGTTGGCCGGCGGGTGGTGGGGGTTGGACGAGGAGTCCTTCTTTTGTTGCTTCTCCCCACCCTTCTTTTGGTTCAGGAGCTCGTCGGCATCAGCGTGCCTATCTCCGCGTCGGAGCGCCGCGAGGTATGACCGCGGCGGCTCCGTGAATAGGCTCCGGGCGAAGTGGCTAGGCCGGAGTGCTCCGCGGAGGAAAGCCAAGAGAGTGCGCTCGTCGGCCCCTTCACATTCGTCCGCCTCCCTCGTCCAGCGATCGAGGAAGGCTCGGAGCGTCTCCTCCGGTTGTTGTTTGATGGTCAGGAGATGAGCGAAATGTTTCTTCGCACGCTTCCTTCCGGCAAAGTGGGTGAGGAAGCGCTGAGCCAGGTCCTGCCATGAGTCAATGCTTGCCTCCGGGAGGTTGTTGAACCAATCATACGCCGGTCCTTCCAAGGTGGATAGGAACCAGCGGCACATGTACTCTTCCGAAGCGTTGGTCATCATCATATTGTTCTGATAACGGGTGAAGTGCTCCTGGGGGTCAGTGCGGCCGTCATATGGCTTGATCGGGTTCCCCTTATACTTCTCCGGGATGGGAGCGGAGAGCACCCTCTCAGAGAAGGGGGTTCTGGTCCGTATCTGGATGACGGGCTCGTCGCGTCGGTCGGCCAACTCTCTTTCCAAGGCACTGACCTTGTGCAGGAGTGCATCGTAGTTGAGATGCTGGGATGTGTGAGCCGCTGCGCGTCCTGCGGCCTCCCGGGCCTCCATATCCGCGAGGCGCTTCTCCAGGCGGGCGATGATCTCGTCCCTTGGGTCCGTGTTGGCCGCAGCGCCACCCAGCGGGGTCTGGATCCGGGCCGCGTGGGCCAGGTTGATCTGATGACGCGCATCATCATTGTGCAGTTTTTCCTTTCCTTTGTCTGGTCGGGGCCGATCCGTTGTCCGGGAAACGGATCCGAAGCTTTCCTTTGGCGACCCCGGCTCGCGGCCACCCAACCGACCCGCCACCCCTCCCGTAGGTACCCGACGGCTCGCGATGTCACCCAGCCTGTTGAAGGCTGAGATTTTACCGCGAGGTTGGGCCGGTGTATCCCGGGTAGGTGAGGCAGTGTGGGAATGGGTGTCCACGGCGAGGACGTCCTCGTTGTCACCGAAGAAGGTGACGCCTTGCGGACGAGGTGGCGGTGGTGGCACCGTTGCGACCTCTCCAGTTGCCGGAGTGTTGTTCTCCCCTGTCTTTGCGACGAGAGCGCTGACCACGTTGGGGTCCTAGAGAATGCTCGCGACGATGGCCGATAGTGCGGCTGGGTTGATCTGGGGGGCAGCAGGGTGAGAAGTCTGCTGGCCCGAAGCGCGATCAGCATTGCGCCTGTCCTCGAGCCCAATGCGGGCATCTGGGGCAGTCTTGTTGAGCTGGACGCGGAGGTCAGCCGCTGCGTGCTCGACCTCCTGAGCATTCTCATCCTGGATAATAAATAGTGTCTAGTCTATTTTAATGGGTACATATGAATAAATGTAGTGTACAAGGAAATAAATGCTATCTACTGAACATATGTGGGCCGCTGTCCGGGCCGCTGTCGTGAGGCCTGGGGGTCCGAGTCTATATACTCTATCAGTATGTGATTAACTAGAGTTATCTAGTAAGGGAATATAAAAACATATGGGATATTGTGATTAGTCTCATTAATTATAGATTATGGAAATATGACATAATTAACCATTAATCAATTAATGGTATGAATAAAAGGTTTTAAGAAAGGATCATGAGTCATGCTTTGGGCTTGGGCATGAGATTACTCAAATAAATCAGAATGATATTCCATGAAATGTTAAAATACATCTAAGAATGTATTAAGCCAAGATTTACTTATTAATGGTATTAATAAGTATACTTTATATGCTTTAATTTGGACAGAAAATGATTATAAATTATGTGTGACGATTTGAACGTCCAAAATGATATTTTTGGACTAAGAATGACTTGTTGTATAAGTGCATAAAATTTCGTGGAAATCGGACCCCGTTTGGATGGTCAAACGGCGTTGACCAAAATGTTATGGCGTTGACCGGCGCCGGTTGGACTAGGTCCGGCGCCGGTTGGGTGATTTTTGCGCCGGTTGAGAAGCGCCGGTCCAAAACAGGCGTTTTGTCCATCTATAACAGAGATGACCGGCGCCGGTTGTCACAGGTCCGGCGCCGGTTACGTGTGTTTTTGCCGGCCAAGTGAAGCAAGTCCGGCGTCGGTGGACTGATGTCCGGCGCCGGCTGGATCGGTTTTCCGAGCAATGTGTGCCTAATGTCCGGCGCCGGTTGGGAAATGTCCGGCGCCGGTCCGAGCTACTTAACTCCAAACAATGAATTCGAGCGGGTAGTCGGTGCGAGGCTAGCCCGTGGTCTGATAGCTTGAGTTGGGTACCAACTTTAAAATTATATTTGACCTATAGTTGACCGAGGGTTATCACGACTAAGGTCGGTAATGTAATTGTTAAGTTTAAATGTCTCGATTAGTAATTCGGGTTCTGGCGGGACCCGACATTAGTTGTATGAGCATGACTTGGACCCGAAGCGGTCCATTCATGGTTTGAAGTAAGAGGGAAGCCTTGATAAAGGTTAGCCCTAAGTTGATTTGAGTATGATGATACAAACTATATTGTTAAAGAACTTGCAAGGCAAGTGTAGTCCTTGAGGTGTGTTTAACCTCTAGTAAAGTACACATAGGTAACAAGGGCAAGTGTAGTCCTTGAGGTGTGTTTAACCTCCAGTAAATTACACGTAGGTAACAAGGGCAAATGCAATCCTTGAGGTGAGTTAACCTCCATCAAAGTGCATATAGGTAACAAGGGCAAATGCAGTCCTTGAGGTGTGTTTAACCTCCATCAAATTGCATATAGGTAACAAGGGCAAATGCAGTCCTTGAGGTGTGTTTAACCTCCATCAAATTGCATATAGGTAACAAGGGCAAATGCAGTCCTTGAGGTGTGTTAACCTCCATCAAAGTGCATATAGGTAACAAGGGCCCGTGTAGTCCTTGAGGTGTGTTAACCTCCAGTAAATTACACATAGGATGAGGGTGTATGCGTACTCCTCGAGGCGGGGTTAACCCGGAAATGAAAACTATGATAGCAAGGACAGATAGTCCTCGAGGTAGGTGAACCTCGAAGTAATGATTTTAAATGATTAAACGTGCTTGATCGGGAACGAGTTTCCGATAGAATATTTTCTTTGGTCTAGGAATTGATTTAAACCATGTCCGTGATATGGGAGTCCGAAGGGCCCCATAGTAATTATATTTTGGTATCGAGTGAGTTAGCCAGCGGGTGACTCCACTCGAGGGTAAGACATGGGAAGGGTGAGTTTAATGAGACTGTTACGCCTAAATGATTTGAAAGACAAATGGGCCCACAGGCCAGATAGTTTACTCATATGTATATATGTATACATTTTGTTTTGAAAAGGGGTAGCTAAGAGTTATGCCCATAATTGTACTATCACCCTATTTTGAGGGTCTCACGTGAGAAACGTTAGTTACATTACATACAGTTTGCCCTCGCCAGTACTTTTCTGTAGTACTGATCCCTCGGGGGAACCACCCTTTCAGGTTGAAGCTAGAGCTTACTTCCTGCACCCGTTGCTCGGGAGATCAATGGGGAGAAGACGTGGTTCGTGCTTCCTCTCGTTCTATTTTTAAATAATTAAATAATGCTCATGGAACTATTTTCACTTATAAATTAATGGAGCCTGTGAGCTCTTGTTTTACCCTTGTGTGGGTTCTTACTAAACACTTATATTCCGCTATGTGTTTGATTGTATGTTGATGTTGTTATGTATGTTTACTAATCGGTTTTGGCATATGTATCTTTCGGAGGTCTTGTATAATTCGGTAAGGATGAACTGCGGTTATTCTTATTGGGTTGTACGACGGTTGTCCACGTGGCACAGACGCGGTCTGGGGCGTGACATTAAGGTTGTTGCTAGTGAGTGCAATGCTATTCGAATGATTTTACAGGGGTACGAGGAAGGACCTGGGCAGGCTATCAATTTCTCCAAGTCAACTATTAACTTCAACCAGAATGTGCCTGATCAGGTTCACTCCCAGTGTTGTGATTTTTTTGGAGTCTGTCATGATAGTGGACAACATAAATATCTGGGGCTCCCCAGTATGGTTGGCCATGGAAAGAAGGCTATTTTGGGTTTTATCCGTGAAAGAATTTTAACTCGTATCAAGACTTGGAATAACCGTTTTCTTTCTAGAGCAGGTAGAGCGGTGTTACTACGGAACGTGGTGCAAGCTATGCCTACGTATGCAATGAATGTTTTTCTGCTGCCAGGGAATTTATGTGATGAAGTTGAAAAACTAATGAATAGTTTTTGGTGGAAAGGCTCTAAATTTGAGCAAACGGGTATTAGGTGGAGAAGATGGGAAGCTATGTGTAAACCAAAGAGTGAGGGAGGATTGGGCTTCAGGAAACTCCATGAGTTTAACTTAGCAATGTTGGCGAAACAAGGATGGCGTCTTCTTCAAAATCCTAAGAGCCTAATGGGACGGGTTTTAAAGGCATGGTATTTCCCGGGTTCGGATTTTCTTAAAGCTAAACTGGGAAATAACCCCTCTTATATTTGGCGCAGTATTTTTGAAACTCAGGAGGTTTTGAGGAAAAATGTGAGATTTCGGGTTGGCCACGGGCGTGATGTTCAGGTCTGGGGGGACGCCTGGCTCCCGGCTACGGCGGATGGCAGGGTCCACTCGGCTAAACCACCTTTTGTGGTGGATATGACTGTTGCGGCTCTGAGGGATCACACCGGTAGCAAGTGGAATGTGGGAAGGATCTCTACTATTTTTTCTCCAGAGGAGCAGAAGACTATTTGTAGCATCCCATTCGGTCTTCAGGAGAGGGAAGACAGTGTCTGGTGGCTGAAGGAAAAGAACGAGAATTTTTCCGTTAGGAGTTGCTATAGGGATCTTATGTTTCGGCCAGTTGATGAGGGGTGGAACGGCTGGAATGATTTTTTGGGACTGAAAATTCCTCCAAAAATTAAATATTTTATCTAGCAGGTGCTTGATGGGTCGCTCCCATCGTTAGCTAATTTGTAGAAACATGGTGTTACTTTACAAAATATTTGGTAGCCCATTCGCATTTCTATGGGTCCGATAAATAATTTAATTAATCGCGCATTAATTAAATATACCAATCAGTTACACGGTTTTTATTCGCTAGAAAATTCGAATACATGTCAAGTTCTTAATTCAAGTACATCCGGATGCGGTGTCACAATGGTAGCACTCGGGCATGGGGATGACGACAATTGCGGATAGGCGTGCATGCATGGCGACGGTCGCGGCGAGCAGAAATATATGGGGATGGTTGCGACGAAGACACGGAGTTTGATGTGGCTGCGGGTGGGCGCGCAAGCATGGGGACTGCCACAATGAGCAGACATGGAGACGACGACGGTGCATGGGGACACTGGCGGCTGTGGGTAGGCACACAAGCATAGGGACGACCCCGGTGAGCATACATGGAGACGTCGGCAGCCCATGGGGACGATAGCGATTATGGGTAGGGTGCGGGCATGGGGACGACCGTGGCCATGAGGGAGGCGAGTGCAGCTTGGGCGGCGGGAGACTAGATGCGAACGACTAGTGGTTAGAGTTTGAAAAAACGAGTAGGAATATTTATATTAATAATCTAAGGTCATATTAGTCCATAAAAATTGTCTACTAATTAATTATTATGGATTTAAATATTATTTTGAGAAAATTATATTGGTAGTGTTTGATAAAATAAGTGATTTTTGTTTAATAGAAAAAGTTAAAAGCAGTTTAAAGCACCCCTCCACATGCTTCGAGCTTTTAGCTTTTAAGTACTTAGTTTAAACAAAAGTTATCTCTTGAAAACATTAATTTAAACCTTTTTAAGCCAAAAACTTGAAAAACATTTTTATCTTATATTTTACAAATACTACCTTAATTAGTCGGGTAATTTTTTCTTTATTATACCTCAGTATCTCATCGGGACGACATACCCCACATGTTCTAGCAGTGTACATTTAAAGCTGTTTGGGGAACCTGTGTTTTTGGTTTATCAGACTTATCATCTAACTTTTTCACCAAACACGTAACTTTTGATTTCACGCGCTGAATTGTGTTATAACTAGAAAAGTAAGGATGCAGTTACTTTTCTGGCTGTATTGACTAGAGTTACTATAGAGAACCATTTTAGTTATTTTTCATGTAATTTTTTCTATTTTTATTTATAAAATATAATTTAAACATAATTTTTTCATAAATCAGTAGAATAAGTCAATTCAGCAATTGCAGTCATAATTTCATAAATTTTAGCAGAATTTGCCAATTTAGAGCCCGTTTCGTAACACTGAAATAGACTGAATCGGCTGATTGTGTTAAAATTTATAAAATTCTGGTCGAAATGGATGGATTAATTGATTCTTCTGATTTATGAAAATATTATATTTAAAATATTTTTATTAATAAAATAAGGATAAAATTGTATGAAAAAATTGTATGAAACAATAGATAAAATGATTTTCTATAGTAATTTCAGCCAATAAAGCTTGAAAAGTAACTTCAATCTTACTTTTTTTGATTACTTCAACATTACACAATTTGTCACATGACATCAAATTTCACTTTCACTAAACACGCTCTTAGCCGATCTCAATATTACTCAAAGCCCTAAGACCAATTGGAGTGGTGTGGAGTAAAAAATGTCAAAAATGTCTCTGTCCATATGAAAACAATGTTTTGACTCCTATTTCTCTGCATTCCAGCACCGTCGATAAAATATACTCTGTATATTTTTTTACATATCAATTTTGTAAAACATTAATTAAATTATTATAAATAATGTTTTCCTTTTATTTTTTTCTATGATTAATTATAAATAAAAAAGACAGATTTCGATGTAAAAATAAATAAATTTCATTAAATTTTTTGGACAAAATATTAATTTAAAATTAATGAAAAATAAAATAAATTATTTCAACCGTTGGATTTCAATTTCAACCGTTGGATCAATTTTTTCACCTTCAAAAAGTGTCCAAATCATCACAACCGTTGAATCTAACAATCTATTAATATATAAAGGAACACTTTTTTTGTGAATAGTGTTCCCACTAAAAAGGTCAACATCAATGACTCATTTGGTTATTTGTCAAAAAAATGGAAAACAAATATTTGCAAAAAATATTGGAGGTCACGTTTTAGATAATCTTGATATCCAACCATTCCTATTGGTTGATATAGGAGGTGAGCACTGTTAATAATACTATGTGCTAAAACAATTCCTATTGGTTGATACAAGAGGTTAGGATTATTGACACTATTTGGACAACTCAACACTTTTGGATTGAGGAATTACTATTGGTCAAAAGTGGAGGTGGGCAGAGTGAAATATACAGAGTATTTGTTATCAATATCTTCAATATCAAAACAAATATTTTTCCCTGACAATCTACTGTGCGGTATGGAAACAACTGGCTCGCATTTGCCCTGCACTATTCCTTCACAACACCAGTATAAATAACTCCTCTTATTTGTGGCCAATTGTTCCTCAGAAATCATCTGCAACACAAAAGCACAAGAGTAAGTGTAAATTATTTAGATTGTCAAAAGTGTGTTTATTAATAAGTATGGGTGTTTCCTCATCTGCAGCTCAAGAGTACGGGTAAATTCTTTAGTTTCTCAACAAGTCAAAAGTGTGTGTTTATGCAAAGAACTATAGTTCCTGAAAATGTTTGGTAACTATTACATTTAACTTAACCTATTTGTATAATATTTCATATGATTTTTTCAAGTAAGAACAATACAAGCACAATGAGGTACAAGAAATTTGTTGAAAATGGGCCATTTGTACAGAATTATAAAAAGATGAAACAGTTCAAAAAAATCAAGTTTGGAGTTTTTGGACACAAAACAAATGAAGTTTAAAAAATCATCTTTTAAATAAAATTCAGTTCTGCATCCAAATTGACATTCTATGAAAACACAATCAGTTTAGAATGTAATAAATCAATGATTTATGATAGATATATAAACTTATGACAGACAGTGTTGTATTCCGACAATACTATAATTGCTTGTGCTCCTAATTGTAGTGATTTGTCAAGTAATCTATTTCAAAATTTATATGGAAGATTTAAAATAAAATTATAAACATGTACGCATGAGATATACAAGTTAAAAAGGATAACTTAGAAGTTAGAAACACCACCTATGAAAGCCCAGAAACAACAATCATCAGCAAAAGGTCTCAGCACATGAACAACGAACATTAGAGAAATCAGAACTCAGATACACCTATCAGAGAAACAACTATACCTGAGCACCAAGATCCACCACAGGAGACCCATGTCCGAGAGAGCCCTTCGACCAGTAAGTCGGACGAAACATTCATGTGTCCAAAAACATCACTATAATACTCCTCTATATTATGTGTTAATTTATTTTTTAACTGTTTATAGTAAATAACGTAATTTAATGCATTATCAAAAATCTGTTTACAGAATCACAATTTGAAAAATATACTCTACTCCGTATATTTTATCAGATTTTTATTTAATTGAAAAGTATTGTACAAGACATTTAAAAGTATCAAGGAACCACAGATTTGTAGCGGAGTACCAATTTACTTACAGTTGTCGCTTCAAGAGTTGTTCATGCGATTGAAAGTTATTTTGTCGATGTCTATGAAGTATGAACATTGGCGACCAGACTAATGCGGTTTTCAGCTGGATTGTTCGTCGATGGCTGCGTGACGGTTTAGGTTAGGATAATTTTGGGGTGGAGAACCATACAAAATTGAAATAAGATCCAGAACTTATATGTGACACCGCACCCGGATGT